CCACAGTCCAAATACATACACTGAATGAATTAAATTGGCTGAATGAGTGTGTATGAGTGTTTCTCTGTACTGGGTTGCAGTTGAAAGGGCATCTGATATGTAAAACATAGGCTGGATAGGTTGCCGGTATTATTTTGCTGTGGTGACCCCTGATGAATAAAGGGACAAAGCCGAAGGAAAATTAATGAATAAATGAATGAATGAATGAAATGATGGATGAAATATATATATATATATATATATATATATATATATATATATATATATATATATATATAAATCTCTATCCATCCACCCATAACTCATAATTGCATAAAATCTTGAATATCACACAAATCTGATTTGTTTTTCAAATCCAATCTAAAGGACGTGCACCACCATTTTGCAAGTGCTGAAATGTGATCTGTTTTTTCGGACAGTGCAGTCAATATCTGGTGTATCGTTTGCTATGGTAATGATGTAAGCATCAGCACAATGCCGAGATATTGTTATTATTGTGGAAAAGGAGGATGAATAAAACTGAACATGTGTTGCATGCATACACGCTTAGAGCATTTAGAACACGCATAACGCAAATAATCAACATTTTGACTTAAAACGCCTCTTTAGTTTCTTCATTTGTAATTAACTGTAAAGTGAATGTCACACAGTTCAATTTCTGGGGCAAAGGTGAACTTCTCAAATGACAAAATACGTGAAATCTGATCTGACTGTGCAGACTGCAAATCAGATTTTAATTGGATTTCAAACCAACACAAATGCTCGGGTTCAGGTTTTGTAAAAACACAGCTATTGCACATTTCCAAAATGCATGCCTATTTTAAAGATTATTTTATGATTATAGCTGTATATTATTTCATATGTTTCAGTGGTTATATTGTATTTTTAGATTGTATTTTTATTAAATATCAATTTAGTTAGTTTTGTAAAAAAATATTTTTCATGTTTAGTGAATGTAAACTAATTAAAAACACTATTTGTGTGTGTGTAAGAGTGGAATGAGAGAGATACAGTGCTCAGAATAACTGAGTTCATCCAATTTAGAAAATAAATCTTTAAACCCATTTCTCAGTGATTATAGGCAATTTAGTTTGGTGTATGTAAACAAAACATTTTATAAACTGATATATTTATTAAAATAATACTTTAGTCGCCAAACATATTCAGAAATAGAAAAATAATACTATTAAATTCAAGCAAAATATTGCAAAAATAAACTACAACCTACAATATTTCAATTTTCCAATACATCTATTCAATTACTCTCAACTAAGTGTCATTTGGTTGTCGACCGAAAGGGGATCTTTTGCATAAGTTTTTTTGGTTTGTTTGTTTCCCCCTGAGCAATCCACTATGCACCCATGACTTTATTTTGTTTATTATGCCCATTGTTGTTTTCTAAACTTGGGTTGTAATAATTGGGGGTTCGTCTGGGATAGAGCTAGTGGCGTGATGCTCTGAGTTTGGTGTGTACTCAGCATTAGTATTTTTTTATTACATCCCCTCAGGTATTGCAATTCTTATGATAACGTGTGGACATTTGTTTTCACTCCACATGAAAATGTTAAATTACACAGAGTGAAGTATTTAGTAAAACTGCAAAATGTATTTTGATGCATTTAAACATAACATATTTATTACACATTTATTAAATTAATATTTTAGTAACCAAACACACTCAGCAATGGACAATAATACAATTAAATTCAAGCTAAATATTGCAAAAATAAATTACAACCTCAGAAAAAAAAATTTCCAATAATCAGCGTAAGTGTCAGCGTTTGGTTTTCAACCGATGGTGATCTTTTGTATACGTTTTTATTTTGTTTGTTTGTTTGTGAATCCACCATACATGACCTTATTTTGTTTATTATGCCCATAGTTGTTTTCCCCTAGACTTGGGGCGTAATAATTAGGGGCTCGTCTGGGATAGAGCTAGTGACTTGATGCTCTGAGCTTGGTGTGTACTCAGCATTAGTCTTTTTTTTTCATTATCTTAAGTTATTTTGTTCGATTCGGCTTCTGTACTGACTAATCTAATGCTCAAATGTTATATTGTATAGATTTGATATTGTATAGATTTGCAAGAGGTGTACTTATATATGCAGAGCTGAGCTCTCAGTAAGGGACCTTCGAAAAAGTGTTTTTTTTTTTTTTTTTTCCTCCGTCCTGCTCCGTATTTTATTTTAAACACTACTAATTTTCTCTTAAATGAGCACAAGCAGTTACTAGAGTAGTCCAATGCTTCATTATAGATCTGTGCATTCTTACATGAACACCTTTGTTATCAAACAAAACACAATGAGATATTCATTTGCTGCTCTTCACTAAATAACTTGAGTAACTTTAATCAATATGCAAATACGATTAAAAATAAAATAGATTTTTAAGCTTTATTTATTTCTGTATAGGCCATTAATTTTAATAGGCTAAACCTTTTATTTTATTGACAATATTTTCTAATGTTTGCTATGTATTCTATCATTTAAAGCTACATGTTGTCCCATATTTTTACATCCCAATGTTGACAGATTGCTAATCAATAAATAGCTATAGTGCTATCTGTTAGTTTTAACATCACCTAATGTTTTGAAGGGCATAGATGTTATGGAAAATAGTAATAGTAATGTAACTACCCCCATCATTCCTTCCTCAAGCAAATGTGTAAATATTAGATCTATTTAGCTATAACGTTAATTGCATTGGCATATTTATCTGACAATTTCCCAGCTTGTTGTAGTCGATCAAAAAGCTATTTAGTTTCTTATGACAATATACACTAGCAGTGGAATTTACTGCGATGTGACGGGGCTTGATCATAATCAAGGGGCTTGATCAAAGGTTGATCATATTCTCTTATAAAAAAAGATGTATCTTTTTCAACAACAAAAAAATTATTACAGTTACAGCCATGATCCCAAAAAAAGCACTTCGAGCCTCATTTTGTGCATATCAAATCGCAAAATCCAAAAAGCCACACACCATATATTTTTGACTGCTTTAAATGGATAAAATTTTTATACCTATTTTTCCATATTAAAATATTATGGTGGGTCTTGAGATTGAATTACTTGCCTAGGTGGGTCCCGGAATAAAAAAAGTTTGGGGAAAAAAAGTTTTAAAAAGTTTAAAAAAAGTTAAATCCAAAAATGGATTTAAAAATAAAAATAAAAACTGCTTTTATTCTACCTGAAATAAAACAAATAAGACTTTCTCCAGAAGAAAAAATGTTATCAGACATACTGTGAAAATTTCCTTCTCTGCTAAACATCATTTGGGAATGATGTTTAGCTGCTTTTTTGAAAGTCTGAGCACATAGCTTTGGTTCATTAGAGTACAATCTGTAAATATGCAGCCTGGAATCCTCTACTTTTTCATCATTGTTGTGGAGACGTCTTTTCTTCTCCTCCCTCCAGTGTCCCCCTTCCCCTCGTCCCCTGAGAGTGCTGGAGGTCTAATTGATATGGAGCTCATGGTACGGCTTGATGACTGGGATTAGGGGAGTGAGGCAGAGCACAGCACAAATATTATTTTAGCCACATGGCTCTGCGTTTAAAACTACACCGACGCATTTGCCAAGTCATGCGTCCTGCCTAATACACTAATCAAAGACAGGCGCGACGAGAATGTATGTGTGTGTGAAAGTGGCACATGGTTTTTGTCACATAGTGGGGACTAAATGTTACAGTTGTAGAGAAAGATCAAATGCACTGCAAGTTACGAAAGAGCATGCAAATAGAAAAACACTAACAAATGAAATAAAAATATCTTCATCAGTCTGACAACACACATAGGGCTCTATTTGAACGATCTAGGTGCAAAGTCTAAAGCAGATGGTGCAAAAGCATTAAGGCCATCTGAAATCACTTTTGCTATTTTAGGGACGGAAAAATACAGTTTGTGCCCTGCCGCATGGTCTAACTCATGGGTGAGTTGTGGGTGTGTTTTGAGCATAATGTGTATTAAACCAATCAGAGTCTTATCTCCCCTTCCCTTTAAAGCCTGGTTTATACTTCTGCGACAAGTGACCGGCGTAACCCATGGCGCATGCAACGCCCGTAGCTGTGCATTTATACTTCTGCGCGCTGTCTCTGTTGGACTGCATTAACACTTCCGAAACGCTAGTTGGCAGTGAGGTGTAAATGTTCCTCTGTGTCGAGTTTCTTCGCTGCTGTTTGCTTTTCCTGGACACTTCCTGGATGTACAAGTGGCTCAAACTCGCTCATTTTGAGGCAGGAACCGGCGGACATGCAAGAACTTTAACTATGAGGTAAACACAAAACAAAACTTTCCATCCGGAGCTCCTTCACGGGACTCTACACTTGTAAACAATCGCTCCATTGGGCTAGCGCCATTCGCGCGGCTCTCAAAAGGAAATGGTATTGTTCCCAATCCACTGAAGACATTAATCAGGCTACATATTTAATTTTGTTTGTTAAGAACAAAGATTTGTTTCAAAACTATTTCTAATAATCATTTCACTCGGTGGCCATCTTTAAAACACATCTTGGGTAGTATGTTTGGGCATTCTGTTTGAATGGGGAAACAAAAAATTCTCCAAAACTACTTGCCAAGTTTACGAATACATTTCATATTACAAATAACCAATAAAATTAAACAGCAACTGTTTATTTAGTGTCATTCCTGAATGCTCGTCTCACACAAACACACATCTAGTCCGAGCACCCCCCCAGAGAGTTGTCATTCTATATCGTTCGCTGATTGGCTCCTATACTAGAAGGCGAGATTTATTCGCACTATAGCAATCACTGATTGGCTCATGTAATAGAAGGCGGGGCTTCATTCGCCATATTGACAGTTACACTTTCCCCATTCAAAAGTATACGAGTAACATGTCTTGTGTATTTTATAGTCTTTGGTTATATCCAAACACACGTCCTATGCCACAAAACCTGACAGGTGGACAAATCTAAACCTGTTTTTATCATAACAAAAATAAATATGCATAAAATAAATAATATTGCTAATAATAACACTAC